CTGCGCAGACCCGTCCCCACCCGGCACGGGCTCCCAGCCCTGGCGCCGGCACCCCCCGCCCCGACGGCGCCCACCCGGGCCAGAAGGTGGCACCGCAGCCGGCTCCGGTGCAAAACGCCGCCCCAGCGAGGCGGCCAGCTCCCCAGGGCTTTATCTCGTGGGGGCTGGGACACTTGATACTATTTCTGGCCTTGGTTCCTCTCCAACCCCAGGAAGGTGGGGGAGGGATGCGCGCCCGACGGCTCCCACCGCTCCACAGAAAGTTAGGGTACGACTAGGGGCGAGGGGCGCTGGCTGGCAAAGGAGGTAGACTTCGCAGGTATCCCGGAGGGGCCTGTTGGGAGACTGTGCCAAGGACCTCGGGTTAAATGCTAATTCTGGCTCTGCTGGCGGCGTCATTTCTTTCCCCACCTCATTCTCTACCTCCTTCTCTTTCCTTTTTTATTTCTTTTTAAAATATACTTTATCGCGTTCCCCTCCTCTCCGTAGAGCCAAGTCTTCAGAGAGCTCTTTCAAATGGACTTGAGTTACTTAGAAAGCACTGGAGCCCTTTCCTGGTGACTTTTTCAGGCAATAAACATGATACTTTTTGAGTTGGGGGTCTGGGGTAGGAGGAAGGGAACATGAAAATACTGCAAGCTGGACAGACTGGTGTTTGGACCGTGGGGCAGAGTTGCCCGGAACCACCCTGAAGTGCTCTGCGTCCAGAAGGGCTCCGTGATGGAGGTGGGGGGCATTTGGGAATGAACGCTGCTGTGTGAATGAACAAGCTGGGGCTGAAAATGGCTAATGGAACTGACGTGGTGCCTCCCTGGATTAACTCACCTGTGCACGGGTCACATGACCAGCGCTGAGGGTGGACTGGGGCACATTAAAACCCAATCTCCTTGAACGTAAGCCCTAGGGGGCAGATACTCAGTCACTGCACAATGAGCAGGCCCAAACCAGGGCTCTACTCCTTACAGCTCTTTTGTCCCCTCAGGGATCAGACTTAGATGTGGAGTTGACCTGGCTCTGTTGTTTTCTCCCCTTAAACCTCTCTATTCTTACTGGGGGGAGGAAAGTCCCTTGCAGATGGAGCAAGTCAGAGTGTGGAACAGCACCCACAGCCCATTGGGCGTTAGTCCTGTCCTGCGTGTACAGGGCCGGTGATCAGGGCGCCAGACTAAGATGGAACTGAACCTTTCTCCCTGTACCCAGCCCCCTCCCAGCCAACCCTTCCCACTGCTTGTCTCCACAGGGTGGGTTGTTCATTAATGGAGAGGTTAGCAGTAAGGCTGGGGGAAGCTCTGCTTGCACTTGCTGAAGGACATTCTTGGTAAATACAGCTGTGACTAGGAGGCCCCCAATTTAGGATAGGGGTGGGCATTTATTTTTTTAAATCAAGAAGTTAGTTGAAGTTTCCTAATAGTTAAGTCTACCATCTATCCTGTATCTAATGCGCTAGCATTATTTTACAAACATGAATCTTACATACGTAGTTCTCAGAACCAGTCCACAAGGTAGGTGACAGCCTTGTCTTTGTGAATACAGAAACTGTGATTCAGCTAGGTTAAGTTACTTGGATAAGGTAGAGCAACTGGCAAAGTTCAGGGGAATTGAAACCATGTCCGTCTGGACGCAGCGCTATAGCACTGCCCTGCTGCCAACGCCACCCCTGGCCTTGACTAAAGGAACATGTTGCTAGTTTTTGAGAATGAATGGGAAAGGGGTTGGAACAAGAAGTACTGGAATATCTACTGACCAATACTTTAGTTACATCATGCCGTCTAGATTGAGGTTATCACATCTCCTGTGTTTGTCTTCATTTTTGTTGCTTCTAGAATAATTACAGGCTTTCCTTTGACACATTTTTTTTCACGTTAAAAACAAGTCGGGGTGGGGAACCAGCAGTTAGCGTAATGGCTATGTCGCTGGACTCCCACGTAGTCAACCGCGGTTCGTGTCCTGGACCCAGTGGCTTAAACTCACCCCGGGCGCGTGTGCGTGCGTGCCCAAGATCCCAGGAGGAGAATGGAGGAGAAGGGATTGCGTCGTGGCCATCCCCCCTGGGGGGTGACTTCTCGCTTTCTGTCTCTATGTCTCTCTCTGTCTGTCTGGTGAGCGCACGCGTCCTATAGTGAAA